ATCTACAATATGTTCAATATTTGACATTTTTTTCACGCCTGATTGGAACGTTCGTGACCAATCTTGCTTACAAACAAACGTGCACTGAACTTGCGCATGCGCGTTGCAATCTCACAGGATCCTTAACCGTGGTGACGTAGAAGAACCATAGATGTTTTGATAGAAATACAGAATTCATGTTTCTCGTTGTTGCTCTGTTCGTTTGATGAATTCTACTTTGAGTCCCTTTTATCAGTTTTCATGAGACTTTACAGTCAGAGAAATTACTTTTTGTTATTAGGCATACTATGACTACCCATCAGTGCTACTTACTACTGATACCATAGCAACAGACCGGCCTGTAAAATTATACTCAAATTCTGATGTTAGAGAATAATTGCTAGAATTGACTCGACCATCCCATTATTTATAAATTTTTTATGAGAATACTTACATAAAATTGTTGAAAGTCTCATCTCTTAACTTTTTTATTTTCACTGAATACACTAAACACCTTGTAGCCTCAAAAAAGGTGAGCCTTGTTTGAGCTCTTTGGCGAAAGCCTGATTACAGCAGTATGCTCCAAAAGTTGATCTTGTGTCTTAAAGCTTAATTATCTAAAATATCTGATTCCTTGAGGCTAAAACCAAACCTGAACTACGATAGCGTCGATTTGAAGATGACAAAAGAAATGAGGCAAAAATCGAGCAAACAAATGACTCGTTCTTAAGAATTTTTTCGCTCTGTAAACACGTGACCAGGGTCTCTCTTCTCTCGCTCCAGGAGGGCGGGAAGATAAGAAACCCTGGGAACGAGGTTGCTTGGCTTGGGTTTCCATCAATGGCTTCCGAAGTTTTAAATTCATTGAAGTGTCTTTTTCCCTAATCATGAGGGCTGAACCATAAAATGGAAATACCATCTCTGGCCTGCAGCAGATCCGACACTTTTTCGGTCTCTGCTTCATGTAGATTTGAGGACGAAAGTTAAAGGGCTGTGAACTAGCATCTGGGATACTAAGGGTGAGTGCGAAGTTCGTGAATTTTCTACCTTTTGGAAGACAGTTGCTAATGTATTTTACTCACTTTGTTTTAGTTCACTGTTCATGATATGCTTATGTTACTTGGTTCTCTTGCCTGGATCATTCCTTGTTAAATCTTCCGAATCTAGCGACCTACCGCTTCGATATGGATATATGAAGGTTTATTTACATATAATGCTTTGCTGTCTTGGTTCAATTGCGATACAGCCAATTTTGAAATCTTGTCACAACTTTCTCTGCTCACTGATTTTTTAAATTTATGAGTGAAAAATTTGCGTACCTGAACTCATGAGTGAAAAATTTTCGTACCTCTCATTGCGTTCGGAAAGAATGCCATCAACATGCACGCGAGATAGCAGACATGAGATAGCAGACATGAGATAGCAGACACGCGATAGCAGCGTACACTCACACAAATCACTCGCGCACCGTCTACCTAACAATATGCTGCGTTATCAGCGCTGTTCGGTGGCGCTGTTTGAGTACTATAGGCACGACGAGAATGTCGAATATACGAGGTTGATGCCTTCATAGTAAGTTACCAAGATATCTCCACATTTGTTTTTCACGAGCTTCCGATCATGTCTTAGTGTAGAATAACACTTCCGCTTGCTCCTAGACGCGTTGTTTGATTGTCTTAATCGTATGTGACAATTCAAGCAATCAGTTGGATTTAATTTTGTGTCTGATCAAGGCATTTTATATTGCGAATAAAGGCTGATAGTTTCGAAAGAAACTGTTTGGGGCTGCGTCGGTGAGAGTAACGAAATAATTTGGATATATCAACAAAGTTGAAATGGTAAATTGGCCACCGTAATCAACAAAAGCTCATCTTTCAAACCGGCAGTCTAAATCCCACAGGGATCAACGAACGCTTTTTATTCCACTAATTTATTCATGTTTTTCTCGTTGCCATGCTCCCACCAATAACGTAGCTCCATTTTCTGCCTTTAAAAGCACACACAACCCACAATTCCTCTATTCGCTCCGACGAAGGGCTAACGCTCGAAACGTCAGCTTTTGTAATCATTACGGTGGCCAATTTACCATTTCAACTTTGTTGATATATCCAAATTATTTTATCTTGCGCTTTGTCTCATGTTTACGAACGAACATGGAATGCATGAAAAGGTTCATGTGATATAATCACGAAAGGTAAGAAGCAAATGCGGTCTATATTATATTCATCAACGTTTAGAAAGAGACCGTGCTTTTACCATGTCAGTCAGGTCAATAAATGTGGTTTACACTTTCCCAAGCGGCTATTGTTCAGTTTTCCTGTCGATTTATTTTCCGTTCAGTTTAAATCGAAAAAAATAAAACATCGAACAATTAATTATTTCGCTCTAAGTTGGCCAAGAACTTATAAATACTGGGATATTAGAAAGCCAGATTTCACTTTTCTTACGTTTTGATTCACCTAACGGATCACAAAGTAGTCAGAATTCACGATAGATTTTGCGTTGCTAACTGTACACATTACTTTTCGTCCAAAATTCTCGGTTGCATATGACAATCCTAAAAGCTTGACGAAATAGCACGCATGCCTTGTTATGTGATGTTTGAAATCTGGCCCTAAGATTTTTAATGTGGTTTCCCCCGATTGTATTGTAATCAGGAACATTCCATTGACAGTTTGGTCGCCGCCATTCGCGGTTTCATAATACTCAAAGTCCTCAAAAGAACCCACACATGTGGGATTCTGACCGATCTAAGTATCGCATATTGCGGCCGTGAACTTTGCAGAATGATCTAATAAATTTTCTTAATTTCGTTACCTTTTCGAGAAAACTGTTGATTGAAGTGTCTGACTCGTGAACAGTCGTCACGGGGCAAGAACAGCCTGAAATATTTTTCAAAAACAGAGGTGTTTTGTTATCAGTTTGAGGTGAAAATTGTTACACCTTATGAATTCGTTGTCAGTTGATTTTCTTCAAAAGGGAAAAATGGCCTAATTAGGCTATTTGGTTTCAAAATCATCGGAAAAAAACAGATTCTAAGTCATCAAATATAGTTTGTTTTACAACGCACTATATTTGATGACTTCACAACGCAGTTAATTTATCTTGTTTCGGAGCAAATCAATTACGGTAATATACTTGAAATTTCAGAAAGTTTTCTAGAGTTAAAGAGAAATTTTGAGTTTAGTAGTGATGATGATAATAATGATACAAACAATGTTAATATTAACAATGATGAGAATAATTACAACAACCACAATAATAACAATAATAATGATAATGATAATAGTTAGATTGTTTAACTATATTTAGCTTCGATATAATCTTTGATTTTTGATAGGCTTTGATATGTTCGGTTCAGCCTTTTTAAACCATCACGTTTAAAACTCCAAACATTATTTGAATATTCGTAGAATGTTCAAAGACTTCAAACTGATACCAATAGTCAAAAATTTTGTTTGCCGAGATGGCAGTTTGCAATTTACACAATTTCGTGTAAAAGTATTGTGCGATCGTCCGGACGATCGCACTACACTTTCACGCTACTCCCGGGTTCAAACCATTTACTTTATTACACAATTTCGGAGACTTTATGTAAAATCCAAAAAAAATTTTCAGTCAAATGAAACTTTTAAGTTGTCTGCACCTCGCCCTCGCTGCGTTGTAAATTTAGTGATCTTGCTTCGCCGTAAATTAATTGCGGATTAATTTTTGGCTTGATTGAATTGAATCGATTGAAAATGTACTCTCCTGTGAAAGAAATGGCACCAGGGCTTTTAAAATTGGAACTGATCCAATTCTCTACGCATTCTCTATGCTGCAAGTATATTTATGCTTTTAATGCAGGTATGTAACCAGGGGAGCAGTTACGACTCATTGTGATATTTTTAACAGGCTGGCGAATCTCTTACCGAAGAACTCCTGACATTGGTTAAAGATTACATCATCAAACATTTTGGAAACTTTCTGATTACTAGAAGTTTAAATAATGGCCTCACCGAACAGCGATGATGGTAAGGTTCAAATTTGAAATTGCTTGGAGATGCATTTTAGTGTGCTTCACACAATCACGAACCTAACAACAGAAGAACTTGAGATATTAATAAGCGAAAAGTTGACAAAGGCTAACTACTGTCAATATCTTGAGGTAGATGTACATACTCGAGAAAGAAAGTACAGATATACTTGGTCAACTCATGATATACTTGTTCAGGAAAAAAAAATCCAATATAATTGCACATTATGGTCTGTTATATTTAAGGATGACAGACTGGTATTAGTGCCGTTTGAGGCCCAGGCAGATTGAGATATTCTCGCACTCCGCACAAAAAAAAAAAAGAAAAAATTCAGGTTTTCTTACAAAGCAGCAGGCGGGTTTTCATAGTACATTCAACTAAATGTTTTGGTGTATTTATCAGGAATAATGACGATATTATTACAAATATGTTCTTAGTAATATTTTCCATTTAGTTGGTCAATTTTCAATTAAAAATTTTAGCGGCTATCGACAAAGGTAATACCAGTTAATGCAACAACAGCTGTCATCTCTTTGATGATGACGTTACCCCGGTATGACAATTTTGTAAATGACAATTTGCCATTGCTGGTGGTTTAAGTTTTAACGTTTTGCGATAAAGCTTATTAACTATGTCAACCTTTATCAGAAAAGTTGGTCAGGAAACAGTATAACTGGGAAAGAATTATCATTCTATGAATAGAAATAGAAGTGATCAATTTAAAATCATCGTAAAAAAATACTCCAAGATCGAGGAACTTTAACTGCACCAGCAAGGGATATTCTGCTTCATCACTCAAAACTCAAACTTAACTTATTGGGTATTTGTTAAGTGTTAGAGGGCAGGGCGCCGTCGTTTACATCACTTTGCAAAACTTTCCACATTTTCCTTTGCTAAGAACGAACAAATCCCAAGTCCTCAGTGTCTTAAGGGCCGTTTTATCTAACAATGAACATAAGTTAATTAACTAAAATGATGTCTATTCCTAATAGATGTGAAACGTGCTGCAGAAAGAACCCTACCAGAGGCTATTAGGAGAACAATTCTTGAAGAGCACTCTCTTAGGAGAACAATTCCTGAAGAGCCCTCTAGTTCTCGTCCTTGTAGCAGAAATAGGATTGTCCAAGATGAGGGTAAGAAACTCAAATGTCGCTTTTAAGATGAGATAGAGACCGCTAGAACTTTTCCTCTCCTCAACTTAAGATGATACCTTTAACATTTTTTCATATCTCATTCCTTCATACCCTTGTTTGTCAAGTAAATGTGCACGCAATCTTATTCGTGCAAGCTTTCGTGTCCCACCTAGTTTCTTGGTGCCTTTCCTCTTCAAAAGCTTAACTGTCAGGGGAATTTCCAGCGGGGAGGTGGGGGGCGGGGTGCTGAAGCTTTGAATTGATCGACGCATAAGGTCTGTACACCAAAACAAGCTTTGTCATTACTTAATTAAGATACTTAGTTAACTTGTATTTCTTACAAAGTTTTCGCAAGACCTGCAACCTTTCCACGAAAAAAGATTAAGAAGAGGATAATTTTTGCGTAAGTATGATTTGTTGGGAATGATATGATTACAGATCCATAAACTATCTTATTGGGGCTTTTGTATATTTTGCTTTCGAAAGGAGGTTAGAAAGTGTCTATCAATTAGCAATCAGGCGACTCAATTTTTGTGCGTGCGTACGTAAAGCTAGCTAACGGAAGGGTGTGGGCACTGACAAAGGTTAAAACAATCAAGGGGTAAGTTGTGATTTTGCTAATGTGCTTGTTAGCCTGACTCTTCACTTGCTTGCACGAGTCACCAATAGGAGGACGAGACTAAAGTATTTTAGTGCCATCGTTTGCCACGAAATAAATTAATTTTGTTTTAGCCGTAAATCCATTTTGTTTTGATTTCTGAAAGCTGTATGGGTCACGTTTACTACCATTTATCGTAAGAACCGGACCAGAGCTATCTCTTAATTGACAAAACGTGAGTTTAAATTCATCCTCTTAAATTCATTAATATTATGCATGATGGCAACAATCAATAACTGAGGCATATTTGGGTCACATGCATGAATCTTGATACCCAATGAACACTCAGATGAAAATCTTGTGGGTTCTGATATGAGTTGAAACGTGGTTTTGATCTCAGATCAAACACTTGCAGCCGGTTTAATAGGCATTTTTTGTTAATTAATACACAATTAACCAGAATTCCAAAAATGACCTGAGTATTACAGTACATAAACATTCTTCGGTATCACCTGAACGTCTTGGCAACCTCCATCACAAACTTGCTAAGCTAGTAATTCAAGGCTACTGCATCCATTTCTTCAATGTTGGTAGAGTAAATGGTAGTCTTTAAAAAGCGCTCCTGGATCTAAAACGCGATCTATAACCGACCGAGAAATTTGCCATTCGCCAAAACTTGTGACCGGCCACTAGTTACTTACATTTGGTATACGAAGGAATAGCATTTTCGACTAACTCGCGTTCTTCGTAAACCATTTTTGGCTCCCTAAATCTTGCCGCATCATCTTCACTCGTGGTCACACACGAACTACACCAAAATAATTGATCGTGCATGCAGTTTAACGTAATGTTACGGAAAATGGCAAAATTGCACCTTTGCAAAAATTATTCTTCATCTTGGAAGTCAATAGAGACTGATTTGCATCTTCAGTGGAGCGCGTGTTGTTATTATGCATATTATGTTTTGCAGTTGTTATTTTAAATTAGAAATATTTCACGGGAATAGATAATTTGACCTATGATTGGTCCAGGTGTTTCTTTTCCTTTTGTTATTCAAACTTCCTTTTTAGGGCGAATTAGCATACATATACCAGTGTATTTTGTTTTCTCTCTCTGTTATGTTAACGGTTTATTTGGATGCGAGCGGAAGAAAAAGAAGCAGAAGTTTGCTTTAATCGTGTAAAAACTTATTGCAAAAATTATTATTACAAAAATTATTGTTTATCTTGGAAGTCAATAGAGACTGATTTGCATGTTCAGTGGAGCGCGTAGCAAAGAATTAGAATTAATTATCATAATTGCGAATTCGCCTCTTCTACGCGCAGCAGGAAAATTAGGTCATGTGACTTATAATTTAAAAGGAACAATTTATGCTGTAACAAATTTTTGAAGCTGGTCAGCAACTGTCGTAAACGTAAGCGTCAAGATAAAGCATCGATATAGCGAAGGAAGGGTTCCAAATACTCAGAAACACAAATTGTAAGTTACGAAACCATTTGTCGCTTCGACTAAGAATATTGTAAATAATAATGTATCCCGAAATTATTTAATTTTCACTTGACTACGACGTAACCACGGATGTAACGAGCCGTGCTCACTCTAGTATAAATAAAACCTGACAACGTTGATCCCTGGTGGGCTAATCTTCAAAATAAGTAGCGCCTTCAACTATAGGAGCGAATCAGAGACAAAACACAAACAATATAGTGTGTAAACCACTCATTAACATTTTATCACTGTTGACATTTTAATAGCATTCCCAGACAGCGCTACTATGAAGAAGATTATCATTTATGCACTTGTATAAACAACTGAGTGTTTTTTTTTCAATATTCAAACATCGAATTCCAATTGAAAAATGCCTATTCCAAAACTATTTTGTTTTGAATTTCATTTTACCCTTCGATAATCTCTCTATTGAAACACCTTGGCAGATAGGTCTGCATAAAACGGTACCATTGCGCACTTTTAGCCGCGGTCACAGTGTCGATGTTTCAGTACAGAGCTTCAAGCAGTTTTTGTGTTCGAAACTCCCCCAGTGGGATTCCTCTGGCTCTGGCCTCATCTTTGTTATCCATGTATCGTTCACCCACACGATGTTTCTTCCTCCTCGTGATCTTTCCTGGATCCTGCCCTCTCTGATGTAGCGCGCCACAATGCCTCCTGCCGTTGATCAGCCCACTCCGTGCCTGTTCGCGACCACAAGATAATCTTCCTACTTGTCTCAAATCCTCTCTTGATTCTCTCTCTGTGCTCGAGTGATATTCGGTTTCTTCGT